TGCAGACCTCATCTATTCCTACTTAACAGAGTAACTGCTAGCAAGAGAAGATTGTCATCCTCTGTACAGATAACTATTAAAATAGTCTTAAGGCCCTTAGGCAGCAGATCAATCCACAGACCTGCCCTGAATGTCCTTTTCCCCCAGGCCAACTGATGATGCTTGGCTCATAATGGTTTGCCTTTTGGCTCTTCTGATATTCTGGTCTACTTCAGCCCCAGTCCTCATCCTTTCCAACTCCCTAGTCCTATACCTTGAGACACCAATCTCTGCAATTTTACCTAAGCCAATGAAGCCTTAAATGAAAAAGGAGCAGATCTTCCCTGTTCTCAGGAGGGTACCCCAAGAATGAGGCTAGAAAGTCACAGTCATGTCTTCCCCAGTCACAGACCAGGACGTGGCTCACTAGCTCACCCATGGATTTTGGGAGGGGAACTGTGGCACCAGAGGACTGATATGTGATCACTGCCTTGTGGAAGAGGATTGTAAGTATTTCTAGGAAGGGAAACTGGGACACATATAGAAAGAGGTTTCAACATACCTAGGAGGAAAGGCTGAGTTCAAAAGATTTCCTTTCCCACTTTTCTCTTGTCATTCCAACTAGTGTCCTTCAAGTACAAGTTACCTGCTTCCTTCTCCCTTTTGCCTGAGCACTGTGATTCAGGAAGCAAGGATGGTGGAAGACAGGTGCACCAATTTTTTTAAATGAAGGTCACCAGAAATGGGAAATGACAAAACAAGACATTTTTCTCTACTCAAAATCCTCCAAGCAGCCAAAACACTTTTTTTTTTTTTTTCTGAAAGGTTGCAAACAGTTGGCTTTTGATGAAAGTAGCGATAAAAAACCTTCAATAATATTTCAAGTAAGTGCAGAATCTATTTCCCCTCAAGCTTCTTTGTTTCAGAAGCAGTTCCTTCTCCAAAACATCTCCAGGAAATGATATTTTAGTATGTGTACAGCACTGCAATAAAACAGCAACACACCCAGGAACATTTTTCAAGTTCACAGCAAGGCGAGCAGAACATCAAGGTATTTAAAAAGTGACAAAGGTCTAGCAGAGGAGACAGTCAGCTTGCTCTCTTGCTATCTGCTTTGCTAATTCTCAGAGAGCCCCATTCGGCTTTTAAAACCTTGACTAGTCTTCTAGAGCCATCCCAGCTGCATCCAGCCAAGGAAATGTGCTTGAGTATAGAAAATTATGTTTCTTCCTGGCTTCTTCTGCCACAAGACTGCTCCTTGTCAGCTGTAAGAAACAATCCTCTCAACAGACAGAATCTTTCATTCACAAGTTTGCCTGTTCTCCTAGCTTTATAATACCTCACATTTTTGTTGAGGGGGCCTTGGTCCTGCATGGAAATAAAGGCTTCCACACTTCATGTAAAAATCTTCGCTAAGTTTAAAAACATACAGCATACCTTTGACTGTAGCATGAATAACAGTGTGGCAGAGTTTGGTTTCTTTGTCTAAGTCCCTGTATATGGAACTTCAGTGCCCAGAGAGTTTGTGTTGTGGTGTGGGAGTCTGATCACCCAGCAAGAAACTTCCAATAGGATGTTCTGTAATAAAATGATTTGCAGACCTGATGCTGAAAACCACATTGTGCTGGTGGGAACTTCACTTCACTTCTGTCCAGAGGGAGAACTGTGAGAATTAACTTGTTTCTGTTCCTGCTGAGGTACATTGGTGTCCCCCACAGAGTGTAATCTCCCTGTTTTCTGAGATTATGCCTAGCCAAAGCTCATTTTTCATTCATAGTGCACATTCCTTACACCTCCTTAACACACGACCTCCCAGCAGAAGAGGTTGCTCAGATCAAACCCAATGGCTCATCTGGTGCTTCCCATTTGCACACAGATCACCCTACCTGTGGTCTTCTCCACCTGCTCTGGCTGCTTTACGAAACACCTCATGGCGATCTCACAGAGACCAGCTGCGAGGCAAAGGCATGAAATGCCCACATCAAACCCATGACTCTTACCTTTGTTACCAAGTCAGCACCAAGGCAATGTCAGACTTTGGAGCCTTCTGCAAAGTCACTAGACGGATACCAAAACCAATGTACCTTATAAACGTATAAACTCTATGAAACATGAACATCCTTTTGACCCTCTGCTTGTCAGTGACAATACAATAACAAAGATGGAGGACGGGGGACTTATGCTCAAATACCACAATTTGAGTATTGATGTGCTGAGAGGAGTCATATATAGTAAGCCTAACACTGAGTTCCTCCATCAATCAAATTTACACACTGTCTCACCTCATGCAATTACCAGGTGTCAGAAAATAACTTTTCCTATCACCTAAAAGGTTTTTTGCTCATTGACTGCTGAACTGTATTTTAAAACATTCATCTCTGAATAACTAAGCAGAGCTTTTAGTCTGATAAAGATATAGATATAAAATGTTAGCACTTAGAAATACCAAGAAAAAGGCAGCCTTTCAACCGTACATATCAGCTTCGCTCTTTCTTTTTGTCCTCTCTCAGGAAGGATCTCCCATTAATTTCAGAGGAAATTTCATCAGCTTAGGCCATGTGTTTTGACCCTTACCACTTTTGACATTTAAAATGATTGAATCCATTGTTGCAGCAAATAAGAGCCTAATAAAATACTTGTATTAGTATCTATTTTTTGATAATTACTGATGTTCTATGCAGGTGGGAAAGCTTGGGTGCATGCCTGTAGGACACTAATGGGAATGGTTTTTTCCAAGTGTCACATTTATCAGTGCACTAGAAGAAAATAAGCCTGTATTATGAAGTTTCATGCTGGCTCTCATTATGCCATCTCACAAGCTTGTCCTTTGATTTATTATAAAGATTAAATATATTTTCTCAGTGAGATCAGAGGTACTAGACAAGAGGTCATGCAAATGCTGACAGAAAAATGCTAGCTTTCCATGTGTCAAATCTTTTGTACTACACATCCAAGGTTCAACCAATGCTTCTTATTTGCTGGGGGGGTCCTGTAGAGTGCTGGTGGATTCCTGTTCCCCAGGGTTGGGGATGATGGAAACTGTGGGGTCCCAGCTCTCACACAGTCCACTATCCCTGCCTTCTACAGGGTGCTCAGCAAATTTGACATCCTTGTCAATTTTGCTGCAGTAGCAGGGGAGCTGACAGGAATACCAATTTTGCAGAGGAGCTTCAGGATACTGTTAACTTACTAGAAATAAAAATTTTCTAAAAAAAAAAAGAGAAATGTTTTGGATTCAATTGAGATCAAACCCAGTACTGTGACTGACAAATGTTCCTGGAGACCCAGCTCTTAAATTGGTTTTTCAGACACTGAACTCACTCTTACTAGGGGAGAAGACATGCTGGCATGTCTGGTAAAACTTCCTATTCCTCTGAGAAGAGAAAATGTATGTTTTCAGTCTGGTTTTAATCACTGTGTACTTTCCAAGTATTTTGGTAATGGGGCAAATCTTAGCAATACGTTTTGTAATGCCTAGAGCGGACTATGGAGCCATGTCCCATACAGCTTCAAACCAGTCAGTCTAACCACAGTCAGTAACCACAGCTCAGCCTCATCAGCTGGAGCTGCAGAAACCATAAAAATCAACAGCAGGCAAGATTTGGCCACCCATGGTACCTCCTGAACAGCCATGGTTATTCTCCTAGTTGTAACCAACCAAGGCAGCATGCTGAAACTAGATTCAAAGCAGTTGTCACACATATCCCTAAGAGCTACATGGTTTTCATGCAAATCCTACTAAACTACACTATGATTATGACTGATGCAGAACACAAAAGGTAAGTCTTTTGTTTAGCAGAAAGATGTCATTTTTGGTGATAATAGATTCTCAGCTGTCAAGTCAAAAAATATGATCATCACTCAGAGGGATATAGCCATCTATTGCAGTTAATTAGTTTTTAGCTGACGAATCAGAAAGCAGCCTAAAGAGCACACAGTAAAGAACTCATTCAGGTACAAACTCTGAAAACACTTAGTCTGCATTTAAACTCATTCAAGAATTCATACTTAGTTCAATGAAATTTCTCACCCCATTGTGGGCCACTTTCAGACCACTGGATTTGGGGCGCCACAGATACACCCAAGTAGTGCCTAAAACCTCCCACTGAGCAATACACAGGGCAGAAAAGCAACTGATTGTAACTCAAGCCTCTTCTGACACTTGAAGGAGCAAGATACTCTTTCTTTCTAGTTCTAGTGAAAACTATAAGAAATCTGGAGAAACTCCATGTTTTCTCACAGATAATCCAGGCTAAAAACTTGCAGAAACAAATGCAATATTATTGGCCATCATGAAAGAACAAGAAAAACAAACCTTCCAAATAGATTGCAGAGCTTTCACCACATGCAACAATGCCTACATCTGGTATTCTTGCTCAAACCAATTTACAGTTTAAATCCTTTTTTTTCCAGTTTCCTATTTTTTTTAATAAAAAAGGGTCTTGGACTAGAAGTACAAGAAAGCAGTGGCAAAAGGAGGAGTGTGGCAGGAACTGAGATTCGGTTTTCTCAAAAAAAAAAGGGACACATCATTCCTGCCCAATGGAATGAATAATTTCTGGTTATGCAAGTTACTCAACACAATGTCAACTTCTTTATCCTGTATTTTTCTCACTCCTGTATTAGCACTCACAGGAGATTAAATGTGGCTAAATCAACCACTAGCATTATCTTTTCACTCTGCTTTTTCCTTTATTCATAATCTCCTGAATCAATATTCGAAGATTTCTTCTGGGTTAGGCTCTAGCTCTAGTAGCAGAACCTGAAAATGCAGCTTTGGTGGGCTGCTGCTTTAATTGCAGCGCACCCAATGTGTCATTTTGACGTTTTTAAAGAAAATGACAGGTGAGGTTTTTAAAGAAAAAGTTTGCAACAAAGTTAAAGATCTTAGAATCTGATGAATCCCTCCAAGCCAAGCTTCAAGAGTTGAAATACATATAAACTGAGGCTGTATTACAAATTTTCAGCCTTGATAAGCAAAAAGTTCCCGATTAATAAACTGACCCCAACGCGACTGTTACCTGCTGAAGTGTGCTTAAATTTTTCACTCTTCTTCTTCCTCCATTTCCATGGCTTAAAAATTCTCCCAAGAGTGGCAAATTTGCTCCTTCTTCTGATTGGAGGCGTGTGAGTCCCAGGTACTAGAGAATCTGAACGCATTGCAGCCAGTCTTTCCACCTCTTCAGCTGTAATTTCGGCAAGAGAAAAACACAAGCAAGGTGGGAAGTGAAATAAATGCTTTAATAAGTTATCAGAAAACCACACAGATGGCCAAAATTTTTCATGGACACAGAGAAGAGTAACAAAGGGAAAAAGTTGTAGTCCTTCTTATTTTAACATTATTTTCTTTTCTTTTAGTGAAATCGTTAATCTACTGTAAAGAAGAGTAGTAGCAACAAGATTCAACAGGAATATGGGTTATTATATTATAAAAGTTATGGCTTTTAACAAATTGTTCTACATCGCTCTAGACAGCTGGCAGTTCAGCTATCAGCCATTTCTGGGGAAGTGTGACAGAGAATGGGGAAAAGAAAGCTCAAAAAACCCAATGCAATATAATTTAAAAGAAATATTACAAGGGTTTGTTTTTGGGGGGTTTTTGGGTTTTTTAATTGCAATGGAAAGAAACATTTAATTTTACTAATATTTATTAAGAGCAAGGACTCTGATAAATAATGACCCTTTGGTACCATTACTGTGCCCACTAAAATTGCTTGGGTTACAAAAAGGGGCTATATCAGAACTTCCTAGTGAGAGAGGACTAGTGTACTAAAAAAAACCCATAAAATCATAGAATTGTTTAGGATGAAAAAGACCTCTAAGGTCAGGTCCAGCTGTTACCCCAGCACTGCCAAGTCCACTCTAAACCACATCCTCAAGCACACATAAAAAGATTTACACATCTTTTAAACTCTTCTGAAGATGGTGACTGCACCACTTCCCTGGCACCCTGTTTCAATGCTTTACAACCCTTTCCATGAATAAATTTGTCCTAATATGCAATCTAAAAGCTCCCTGGTGCTACTTGAGGCCATTTCCTCTAGTCCTACCACTGGTTACCTAGGAGAAGAGGCTGACCTCTACCTGGCTACACCTTCCTTTTAGGTATTTCTAGAGACATATAAGGTCCCCCTGAGCCTCCTTTTCTCCTCAGAATCTCTCCTGCCTCAGATACTCATGATAAGACCTATGCTCCAGAACCTTTACCAGCCCTTCTCCAGTACCCCAGTGTCTTTATTGTAGTGTGCCTTTCTTTCAAGTCTAGTCCCATTTTTCTGCCCACTCACTGCCCTCCAATTCTTATGCTTAGCTTTTAACATTTAAACTTTTAATTTTAGATTTTAATACAGTTCCCACTTAGGGCTGAATTCCCTTGAAGGGGATGGAATTTTTTTCACTGAGCTTCTGTTTGTAAGATTTCTGCAACCTTTACCCTGTAATACATCATGATAGTCTCAATACTGAAAAAAAACCGCACCAACAGAGGGAAGGTACCAGCAATATGTGAGGTTGTCTCTGTGCCACAGCTATATAGCTCAGTCAGAATGCAAGCAGGGGCTTTGTGCAGTTTGTTGTTCCTATTTTTGTTTGGTTGGTTTTTAAAAGTTGTTGTTGGTGTGGTTTTTTTTCTTTTCTTTTCTTTTTTTTTTTTTTTTTACCATTTCCCAGACATGTGCTGTCATGTGCCACTAACACTGATTTGAGTGGTTTGCACACACAGTCTGGATCCATAAAGACAGGATGCAGATTGTCACCTCTCCTGCTCCGAAGACAACAGCCCAGTGTTTCTATTCACCTCTCATATTTTAAATATTAACCTCAGGCATGAGCCTGAGCTCAGGAACTCAGCAAGAACATTGCTTTGAAGGGATGAGCACGCCCACTCCACACTGACAGATCCACCAGAGATTTTGGCTGGCAAATTCTTATGTATCTCAATGGAAATTTTTTCAAGGCTTTAAGTGAGCCAAATTTAGGTTGGTTTTCATGGGAACAGCTAAAGACGCATTTCTAACACATAGGAGGTTTCATTATTAGAACTCCAACTGAACTACTATTTGAGTCCCTCAGGTTTTTGCAAGAAGGTTGGTTATTATGTTATTGCTCTTCTGTTTGTTTTGAATGTTAACATGTAATATAATCCTTTTTCCTGTAAAATATCAATGCCAGATACAGCTGCCTGTAACTTTCCAAAGAAGAAAAAGGTAGCCAGCAAGATAGGGCGAGCCCAGATATTTCAGTGGAAATGGTTAAAAACTGCTGTTCTTTGGGGTAATAAAGACAAAGACAGACCTTTCTGAGAACATCTCTTTTCAATTTAAAGCAGAGGGAATAAAAGATAATCTGGCCAAAGCATTTCATTCTGTTCCAGCTCTTTGTGCCTGACTGCCTGGAGAAATGGTTTCTTATCCAAAGAACCCATTACAAGGCTCTGTCCTGTACAGGGGCTGGGACATGCTGTATCAAGGCTGGGAATTGCCTGCTTATGCTGAATAAACGATATGGGTAAAAAGAAGAGGAAATCAGAAATTTCCTAGTACTTTCTGACTTCACTGAATCCTGCTGGGCCTTGAAGACCAGCAGAGGGTACAGACCATCGCCCTCTATATGCAGATCCAAAGGGACCACTCCATTTCCCCTTCCTCCATTTTTGAGATGCCTCTAGTTCAAGCACCTAAGATCCCACTGTGTTGCACTGCTGTGATTTTTTTAGAGATGCTGCTAAGAGCAATGGGCTGGTATTGTCTTTGGTGTCTTAGGGGATACAGGAAGTGGCCCCTTGAGCAATGGGAATGACATACTACTGCTGCTGCTGAACTAGGCTTCCTGCTAATAGACCTACAGCTGAAACACATTGAAATTCCTCTTGCTGCTCACCCTCTCTCCTCTTCACCATCACTGAGCCAAGATTTCTGCTACCCAGGTGCCTTTGTTATGAAATCTCTGAGCTGCAACAACTTCTCTTTGCTAGCTGGTTCTAACTGGTATTGCTGAGGCCATTTCCTGGAGAACCGACACCCCTTAAAGACACTCTCCTTTCACAACACAACTCTGTCTCATACCAGCTGTGCTCTCACTGCCCCTGGGGAAGCTTTTTCCACTCAGGGTAAATGACTATGGATTTACAGTCAGGCAAAACTAACACTGGAGTCAAAAAGAATTTACCCAGAGGGTGGGTTCACTAAAAGCCAAACACAGTGTCAAAACCATTTCCATATTTTGACTGCTCTTCCCTGAATTTCAGTATTGTCTTACACACAAATCTGTGGCCTCAGAGTCCTGCAGTGCCTGGCATCAGACATGAAAGTGTCCCTTCTCCTTCATCCTCTCCAAACACACACACAGCTCCAAGCTAACCGCTCTTTTTCCCTCTCATTCGCATTTCTCAGAAGGACATTATTTTTTTCATGAGAAATGTTCTCAAGAGCACTGCTAATTCAAAGCATAATAATCACTGGCCAGGAATAAACCACATTAGCATAAAGCCATGACAGTTTTAATACAGCAAGAATAAAAGCAGACCATGATGCAAGAAGCAAATGCCAAAATTCTGCGCTCTTCTTTGCTGCTGCATCTTTTGCTCAAGTTGGCTGGGTTTCTCTGCCTTTTTGGCTCATAATAACTATTGACTGGCTGTGGGCTGCGACACCCACTGCTGACAGCAGGCTCCGTAGGCTGATTTCACACCTTTGCTGTTCCCAAAAAAGCTGGTACTTGCAGGAATGGAAAGTAACCCAGACCTTGCACTCTTTTTCTATTTTTTTTTGTCTTCAAAGAGGAAAGCAGTCCCAGCAGTCCCAGCCTGATCAGTCTGCTGAACTGGAAGAGGGAGCTGCCATGTGCATTAGTACCTGTAGTCATACTTCGGAGATCTCATCTTGACGCTGGTGCCACAAATGTGATGTTTACGGGTCATGGGTGCTGCTGATACTCAGTGATTTTGGGAACTTGTTCTGATTTTTTTCCCAGGATATGAGAGATCTTTCTGAGACACAAAGAAATACTGGGACCTGCTCTTATGGCAAGAGGGTGATGCACTCCCCTCCCACTTTCTTCTGTCCAACCTGTCATTTCAGAGCTAGCAATGGGGAAACTAAACTTGAGAGTTTTTCATAGGCTGTTTGGCTGTGAGACAGCTCCCAAGATTTTATTGTAGCTCTTAATAATCCTGAAGTTCATATAGACTTTATATAGGGCATAAGCAAGACTTGGGGTTTTAATGAAAAAAACCCACCACAAACGAAAGTTCTTTGCATCCAATTAATATTTTAAAAAATTTACGTGTTTGAAATACATTACAAAGAAAAGAAGAGGCCAGGCCATCTTGAACCTGTTCTGTATGTTCTTACGATTTTCCCACATCTTTCAGTAGGGTGTTGATTTCCAGAAAGTCCAGTAAGAGACAACATAGTGGTCACCTACTTTTTGAATTTGAGAAGCACAGCACGCAGATCAAAAGCCCTCCCACAGACAACACAACTTATGAAGTTTTCCTGGAGAATGACAGCCAGTTTTGTCATTCCCACCACTGTCTGGGAATCACTTAATCTATTAATGTTGCTGATATGTAATACCACAATCTCCAGCTTCCATTTTAGAAAAAAAACCCACTATTACAGCATTTGGGTACAAAGAGCAATTTCATTGCTGAAGGCTGAAGCCCACCCATCCCCCTGGTGGTCTTTAACATTACCTTCCTTACTGGTAATCACACCAAGTTCTCTCTGAGACCTTTTTTTAACACTCATTTTTCATAATCAGACACATGATTATGTTAATCAAAAGGAAATTAACTTCACAAAGCTAGATTTTAATTTTTCCTAGGAAGCTCCAGTGGCTACTTTGTGCTTTCTGTTGCATTTGCACAAATCTGTAGTAACAGGCTGAAAATTATCTTGGCCCTAAAGATGCAATTAACTAAATGTGTCATATTATTCAATGACAAGAACTCTATATAAATCAAACCCCCTAATATAATGCTACTCATTCCCAACCCACATCCAACCAGCCTTTATTCTGCAGATAAGTTTCCAACAAACTCCTGTTCTTTCGAACATGCACCCCAAATATCCTTCACTTCAGACTGCATGGACCTTATTCTAGCAGCTTTGTTCAACACAAGATGCAGACACACCATATGTCTTTTTGAAATGACAGGAAACCTGAACAAATCCTCTAATTGCTG